GAGCGAAATTTGAACCTGTCCCTAGACCCGAATTGCTTATTTCTGGATATTTGCCCAATTCACGTACCGTGGGCATAAATGGTAGCCCCACTCTTGACCACTGCTTCTTTACTGTTTCACATAGTCCGATGGGGCAGTGTCAGGAGGTGTGGAATTAGTGGCGTTTTCTACCACTAGTTGGTTGTTGGTTGCCCAAATCGGTCACTATTGGTGAAAAAAGCAGCCGCGGGTGATTCTTCGGGTCATTCTGGTCTCCTGATACAGCCCCGTCGGATTGCGACCTAACAAAGTGCATTCAGATGAACAACATCCTCATCCTTCCGCCAGCCCACGACACTTTGCAAGAAACTGCCAAGGATCAATTGAACCATTTTTGTCAACGAGTTACTAGTAAAATGGATGAATACAATGAGGTAATACCTAACTGTACACCTTTACCTACTCGAGAAGTAATGTAGCGGTTTTCAGTTCCTGAAGCACAACTCGGTTGTGGTGTTCGCGGTGAACTACATACAAAATCGTTTTATCGCCGCCGAATTGTGCACGGAAGTAGGCAAACTATTTGAGATCCTCAACGTTAAAACAGAACCCGAGTTCAAGAAAGCGATCGAAGCGCTTCGGACAGAAACAGACACAGGTAATTGTGCTTCTAGTTGGGTTGATTTATATGTAGTAGTCTAGACGCGAGATAATGAAAAAGTCACTGCATAGCAATTCGAAAACAATCTTCCGTCTAGGAAGTGATGTCATACTCTCACATTCAGGCCTAAAAGATTAAGCTTACAAGATTAAGAGCTGTGTACACAACAGATAGGCAGAACAACTTAGGTTTACTACATCTGGCTTGGGAGAGGGGGCATTTTGCTAGCGCACTAGTTCCTTCAGTTTGACCTTAATGAGACATGTGAACTCAAGTGAAGTTGCAGCTTTTCTGAGCTGCTTTGGTGAGACCTGTAAACTCTTGTAAACTTACAAAACTCACTAAATGCTACGAGTTCCATTACTTCCGGCTGTAATAGATTTACAGGAGTTCCACGATTTCACAGGTCTTAACAGGCTGCCCTGTAAGAGCTTTAGCAGTTGACATGGATTCACAGGTTTCGACGTTGATAGGACCAAGCATGATGACACCCCCCCAAAGCAAATAGCGCCTTTTCAGGATGATAGGATGAATAGGAGATATATTCTTCGCTCTTTACTAATCCCTTCGGGAGCGATGGGACACGAATTCTACCTTTCCATCAGAATTTAGTGGCCTTATTGATATGCTGTGCTGCGCCTATACAATGAATTGCACAGCGAAGTAATGTACAAGGCGTACTTATAGTCCAAACAAATCTGGTACTGATCCCTCGCTCCCGGAGGGTAGAGGACCCAGTTTCTTGGCAGCAGTCGTCCGAAATTTCGTTCACAGGGCCGCTTATCTACGCATGACGAAGGGAGCTGACACCACGACCATGCGGAGCGCGCGCAGGTAACCCTCCCCCGATTGCCCTTCCTCCTCCGCTTACCCTCTGAATTCTCTGGAACTGTGTGCGTTAGCAGGTCGTACTTATAGCTTGGTTTGCCCTACTTCTTGTGAGTGCATCAAACCAGACAAAAGGCCTATTGTCACTTCAGGAGGACAATCTAAATAGGGAATCTGGCGTCACTGAGTTCAAAGCTGGGAGGGGAGGGGGCACGACAAAGTCCGTTCTTCAACTGGGACCTGGTCGCTTGCTGACTACGCTACGATCATCTGCTCCCTTCTAAAGGAGCTCGGAGAGAGAGAGGGTTCCCTCACCATTACTGGCGCCGCTTGGTGTTCCGCTAACAGTCACTGAAAAGCTGCCTAAAAATGAAGCAGCGCCTTCAATTTTCAACTCTGAACCCATTTTTCGGAGATGTCACAATTCACACAATGAGAGGGCAGGTTGTTTCAGGTGGGTTCTGTTAGGCTATACATATAGATATGTAATCGATAAAAATTGAAATATTTTATCTGTACAATAAATAAAAATTTCGAGTGAAGTGGCTGCCTCATTTGAAAGTTTCATTCCAGCCGCGACTGTTGAAGAATTCGAAACGGTCACGAGGAACTGGGACAGCTTTATAGAGGGCATTGAGAAAGATTTGGACGAGAAAGTTGGTCCCAAGCACCACAACTGCCAATGATGGTGGGGATTGATGTTCCCTACTTTGATTTTCGAGTTTTTGGGTTCGTATAAGTTCAATATTGCAGGTACAATTTTTAGATACCCTTCCGGAGTTATGTGTGGGAAGTAAGGCGATTTCTCACTATGTGAAAGGAAGTTCTTTCCAAATGGTGCTCGTAGTTGTAGTGAGGTGAGTTGCAGCTTCTGTTTTTACTACAATTTTAGAAACAATTCGGCTTGATGGGGGTACCTTGCTAATTCCCATCGATAGATATTATCGTTCGTATCGGAGAGTAGGACGCAAAGTGGCTGCAAACCTCATACTGAGTTTTTTATTTTTAATGTATCTGCCTCGTTTCCCTCTGAACCCTCAACGCTACGGCAGCCACGCCTCTCGTTGCCCTCAGATATGGGTTGTACGCCATGCACCATAATGAGCACTGTTGCATTGAAACCCGTTTTTTTCAGGTGTTTTCACTCACAAGAAATAACCCAGCATATAATGGGGCTCTATAACAAAATTTCCGAATTCCGAAAGCTAGGATGTGATGTTTATCTGCTCACGAGAGGTCCTCCAATCGGGACTAGAGGCCAGTTGATTTTCCTATTATATTAATTATATTGGTTTATTAATACCATAATATCATTAATCAATATTGAACATTATCAATTATTTTCAATAATTAACGAATTATGAATATTGTAATTTCGACCTGTTCTTCCAACCTTTTTTTGATTTTTCTTTCGGTAAACCACCGTATCCGGAGAGAAAGAGGGCGTGAATACATGCTTCTTTTGAGCGTGGCGCGGCTGCGTTTCTGAAGGGATGTTGTCGTTCTGGGACAATTATCATTATTTCTTTGTTCAGCATAAGATAGAATGACAGTTGTCTCAAATGGGAATACCCCACAAAACGCATCCTTCCTCGTGTTCGAATGAGTTGCACAGCCACGCCCCCGCCCATCTTCGGAATGTGGAGCGCAAGATAGTTTCCGTGCGATCAGGGTGGTCGTTACTTTACTACTTTTGCTACTACTTGGAACTACGTTTGCTCTTGAAATGCCTTCAGTAGGCGGCCAACATCGCCAAAGAAAAAAGCTGGTAACAAAAGAACAATAAGTGTGAGCAATAGAAATTGAAAGTTTCTGCCCTGCCACAGAAAAAGGTTCCCTTGCTAGCTGGTCCAGTAGCCCAAATGTCCAACCAGTGGCCCGAATGTTAGGTAAAGAATGCCACCTCGCCCACCGTTTTCGTGACTTCCTGTAAGAAGAAGTTGGCATCTGAATGCTCTTCCATGCCGGATGGCCATCTGAATGCTCTTTCATGCCGCATGCGTTCCAAAAGGGTACAGTCGTCATCCGGGCAGTTGATCAGGCGGTCGTCGAAGGGTCGCAGACGCGGCTGCAGCAGCGACTGCGTACGTAGGAACTGTTGGCGGCGATCAGCTTTTTCCGGCCTGATTTAGTCATTTTCTTCCTACTTTTCACTGTTTTTGAAATGCTTTTCTCTTAGGTTATTGTTCTTGTGGTCTTCACAAGGTGAACAGATTGAGATTTGCTCGTCAATTTTCGCGAAACAATTAAACCAGTTCCAAATTCACTCTAATAAAAAATCTGAAAAAATAAAAATACAGTGAAAATTAGGGAGAAAATTGCTAAACCAGGCTGGAAACAGCTGATCGCCGCGGTCGTGACGCGCCGCAGCCGCGCTGCGACCCTTTGACCGAATAATCAACTGCCCGGATGACGACTGTAAATCGTCAGCGGGGGCAGCAGAGAAGAACACTCACTAAATTTCTAAGCCTTCCTACAGTTTTCCATCTTGCCTAATTTATATTAGTCAAGTTTCACGAAAAAAACGCTCAATTTCAGGTGGAGCATATATAAAATTGATCGGTGTTCCGTTTCGAAAACTGTACGACGAAGACGAAGCTCTCGCAGAACTCAAAGCACATCGGCATTCTGCAATGGATCTTGTCGGATGGGAAGCTCTTGTCAAGGTGCGGAGGATTTTCGTCTTTTGGCGAATTGTGACACTAACTTACTATAAACCATTCTATTCTGAATTTGAGAAGCGGCTACAGCGGCGTACAGGGCATGGGGATGCTGCGCAAATGCCGGGTGTGGAGTAACGACCCCCCCTTTCGAATGGGGGTCCAGCCAGCCACGACGCCCCCGCCCCTCGCCTGTCCTACGCTTTCTTCGCTGACGACCGGGAATGAGTATAGAATAGTCGCGCGATAGAAGCCGTCGAACGGGGGTGTATACGAATTACTATGGCGGATCGTATAGTCCACCGGGCTGTACAAAAGTGCAGTATAGTGGCATATAAAAATTAATCCGACGCCCCCCCCCGTAATACGACTCCCCCCTTCCCAGAGCAAAATTACGACCCCCCCCATCGGGTCTTGAACAACGACTGCTTGATACCTGATTTGCAGATGGGCGGTGTGGCAGCATTTAATTTTCGAATAGCGGCGAAAAAGGCGCCGCAAGCTGGGGACGTAGTCAGCCTTGCGGCGGGACCAATCCAATTAACGAGGCCGAGTGTTTCTGGGCGTTAGAGCTCTCTTTGCACTGCGTCTTTTAAGGTCGACTAGCTCCTCATAGGATTCGTCTGTCTGTCCAAGTCAACTTTGAAGGAAATCTCTGCCTTTCGCGCGCGCCCCTGAGGCCGCACCTAACGAGAGCACGCCCGAGAGTTGGCCTCTTCCGAGTGGGCATTCGCTTGATCAAATCACCGATCTAGACTCGATGCTCCGCCAGGTTTGAAGTTCCGCGTTCAATCTAAACAATCTTACTAACTTTCGACAGTTGGCTGGCAGAACATGCTGCGGGAGACAGGTAACCGGGTATTCTGCTTCTGAAACCACTGCGAGGTCTCACGCGGGTAACGCCGCCGTGGTTTCCGGGCAAATGGTTCACGTTAAGATTGGCAGGTTCTTTCCTTGCTGTTTTATTTAATAGCTTTCGTCCTGTAAATCTTTGTCAGTCTGTCGAGCTCATCTCTGGCAGAGAAGATCGCCTCAGACAGATATAAGGAGACGCTGATGAAGATATCAGGCAGGCTTTGTCACACAGAAGTAGGTTTATCGCAATAACGGAAATCATATAGCAGCACTGAGCATTGCTTCTCCACTGTCATGTCCACATTCTGAAAGGTCCTATAGAAGCGGAAGGGCATAAGGTAGTGTTGAAACGAACTCCTCTCCAGGGAAAGTCCTGTTCGAAAGTTCCTCTTACGGTACGAGTCTCCCTTTCCCCATCTCTTATCTTACCTGCCATCTCGTGAATTTCTTCATCTCCCCACTACTCCTGAAATTCTTGAGCTTTTCCCCACAAACCGCCACCTAGGACGACCGTATGTAGGAGGATGTAGTTTCATGTTTCCGCTTTGTTTTTCGCAATTATAAAATTGCTCTTCTGATGTGAGGTCTTTTTAGGGTGGAACAATTCTCGTCGATAAATCGGGTAATGTTCTCTATAAATTTATAGAGGAAGAAAACGTCAAATGGCCTACTGTAGACGACTTAATATCTCAGGTAAGCACCCCGTTTAGACCTAAAAAGTGTTGAAAATCTTTCATACCTGCTGTGTACCTAAATATCTTGGGAGAGGTAGTGTGGTGGCAAGTGGCTCCGAGTAAAGGGAGGATTCGTTGAAAGAGGATCCTAATGAAGGAACAACTTAGGGGGTCGTATCTAGTCTTTTAGACTGAACACACTGCGATGGTGTGCCCTGAGTGCACCCACCATTTGCCTCTCCACCACCTCTATTTTCTAAGAGGGAGGGAAAGAACGCGAAAGAGAATAGTGACGTTCCCTATCCGTAATTATAAGTCCTCTATGTCAAATTACAGGTTAAAAAAGCCGAGGAGCCCAGTAAAACGAAATCATCGGCCTCGAATACGGCTAAGATCGATTCGGAGGTGTCAGCGGCGAAAGACGTAGATGACAAGAAAAAACCGTGTTGTGTGATTTCATGACTCAAAAAGCTTATTATTTATTATTCGGTATATTCACCTTTGTACTGTAAACTATGGGCACCAGTTGTATATACGTATTTATAAGTATATATAAAATGTATAAGATTATGACGGTGTAACTGGCTTTTGTGCATATGTGCTCACAATAAGTTCCAGCTCTTGAGATTCTGATAACTACCTTACTTTTACTATGCGCTTAAGTTGTTTTTATATGTACTCTTCCTTGATGGCACAGTTTGCTCCAATCGCATGGACGGAGATAGCCTACTAATGGGCTCTTGATATCCCGTTTGACAATGATCTCTTTGTTGTAAGGCTGACACATTCTATGTTCTAAAAAAGGCACAGGGTTGCTGTCTCCGCCCATACGACGAGTGTGCACTGCATCTTTGACAGCGAGTCACCGCTATACCGTTGGGTTGTTCTGATGACATTTTCTTGCCATCTACCTGTTTAATTAGGCTTCTTAGTTGGATTTGTTAGTTTCTCGTTGTTTCTGAAAGAGCTTATTCATGAAGGCAGACGAACTATAATGACTGTATGTATGCACGAATTACAGAAATGAAAAGTATTGTTTCATTTGCACTTATCAATCACTTCAAAATGAGCTGTTACTTCTACAGTCGTTCGAGGCTCTAGAGGTCTTTGAATATGCCTTCGACTTTCGCGCTGGCTCCAGCGGAGAATGCTATTTTATTGTTATAGAGAGAAGAAGAATACTGTACATAGGTAGAAGCTTGGCTGATCAAGGCAATTGAATCAGCGCTTGGATTTGTGATACTCGTGTGAGGACGTAGCAATGTTATCTCTTACGTTAGCGTTCTCACCCCGCTATTCAACCTGCTGTAGAGGGCAAAGCAATACAGCGAAAGTGCAAACGAACGGTTCTGTGCGTGCGTACGCTTTCCAACCCCCCCCCCTGTCAACCCTTATCAGTCGTCATCACTTGTGTTACCGCCCACCGATAGTGTTCCCGGCTCTTATGTCACCTCCTGCAGCTAACGCCCCACGATGGCTGTGCCCCTCGCTATGGCTTTAAACCACCCCTTCCAATGTTCCATATCACATATTGGCTTGTTGCAACTTTCTATCATCCTTCATCCCCACAAACTTATCACTTCCTGGAGCCAAAGTTTCACCGTGCGACGGGCACTGTGTCTTCCATGACAGATAAACAGACAGACAGAGAGACAGACAGACACCCAGAACAGACAGAGAAACAGACAGACGGACAGACAGATAGACAAACAGACAGAATTAGAGACAGAGAGACAGACCGGTAGACAGGCAGACAGCCGGACAGAAGGACAGGCAAACTGACAGACAGAGAAACAGAGGACAGACTGGCTAACTGGACTGACGCACAGACATTCATGCAGAGACAGGTAGACCAGAGGGCATGCAGGCAGACAGACAAACAAACAAACACAGACAGACACAGGCAGACAAAAAAAAGTGACAGACATACAGAAAAACACTGACAGACACAGGAGAAATACAAATACAAATAGACAGACAAGACAGATAGACACAGATGACAGATCCAGACAGACAGATACACAGAGAGACAGGCAGGCAAACTGAAAGACAAAGAGACATTTAGAGAGGGACTGACTGAATGATGGACAGACAGATGGACGGACAGGCATACAGACGGATAGGTAGATTGACGATGGGCACGCAGACAGACAGATAGACAGGCAGACAGACAGACAAACAAACAAACAGACAGATAGAGGCAGACAAACACAACGTGACAGACATACAGAAGAACACTGACAGACACAGACAGAAATACAAACACAAATAGACAGACCCAGACAGACAGACAGACAGGCAGACACACACTTACTCGCTCACTGACACGTCCTTAGCGGATTAATATATAGTAGGTTGCGGCGAGCGTTGACAGCAGCTTTTTCACAGAGAATCACGAGCTACGTTACGCTCAGGAAATATGGCCCCATGCTTAATGGATTTATTAAATAACTTGTTTTACAATTTTGGCTTGGATATGAAAACTAGAAGAGCAAGACACTTAATATCTGCTGGGATGACTAAAACGGTGCAGATTTTAAATCCAATAGCTTGTCCAATTCTGTTGCAGGGCGTTATAGCGATATTCATAACTGATAAATAATCCATTCCTTGGACCAATCTGATACGTCGATGCTTCCTCCAACCAAGAAGAACAAGGCATTAGGATGGGATGTTCGAAGTGCCAGTTGTATCTGGAAATTTACAGTCCGTTAACAGAATACCTAGGGTAGTAGAGCATAATAGGGCACAAAAGGGAGAAGTCTTCATCGTTAGTCAATTCCTTTTTGGGATGCGGCACGCATTCTACTTCCATTCGAAATCGTGGTGGCTTATTGAATGCGATGTGGCCATTTGATAAACAACAACTTGCGGAGGCCAGCCGATGTACAAGTAAGCCCTCCAAGACGAAAATGGTAGCAGTATATCTTTCACGGGGTGGAAAATTTGATTGGCCGAGGCAGGAGCCCATTCGGGATTTGATACCCCGGAAAATGCCTGTTGTAAGCAGCCACTGTGTACACCACCTTCGCCTTAGTAGAGATTAGGCATTTACCGAACGACGGGAGGGGTGTATGTCGTTTGGCGCGATTTTCCTATCACCTCCCCGTCAAAACGTGTCAGGTGAATAGTGTTCCAGATGAGACAACTCGCCCATAGTTCCAAAATAGTTTTTCCCCCCTAAGTAATCATTAGAAGAAAGCTTGGCTGAGAACCATGGGCACTGTAGCCCACACTGACGGTTTTTGGCAGACTACAAATTACGAAAGCCTCATAGTGATTCATACAAGTTATCCAACTTGGTAGGGACTTATCATACCTGTCAAAACACGTCAATTGCAATGGAGTCGCGCCAAACGACCGCCTCCCGACAGGGGGGGCATTTTGCACTTTTGCTACTTCCCATCGACGTGTCGACCTATCTAGACAGCCTCTTCTCGAGTTGACAGGTTTTAACATGATGGCTTGACGACCTTGCTCCAGCTTCACAAGAGTTCACAGGTTTCACCAGAGTGAGACTTGTGAACCGGACCTAGTGACTAGTGCAAAAGTGGAAGTGCAAAATGCCCCCCCCCTCCTCCGTCGCCGAATCTGCGCCCATTCATTATTCATCCAGTGTGTGGTATCGCAAGAGTGTAAGATCCTTGTGCGGGCGTGCCTCATAAAGTGCAGAGTTGTAACATAATGTGTCCAATTGTAAATGCAGGCGTTCCACTTACTCGTAATCTTCATCGGGACCCATTCTGTAACTGGTATCCACAGAAATGTGGTCGATAGCCCACGCGTCTTCTGGATGATTGTCGAACTGGATGAACACAACATCGGCTCGTGGAGCGCAGTCGAAGAATAGCTAAGCACTTTGGTAATATCTAGTACATTTTTACAAAAATACTGTCTTTGTTTCAAAACCACAAAGTAAAGTGGACTGCTTTTATTTGGGACAATATGGGTGTTGGAGAAAGTATTATCGCGAATTTTCAAAATTAATCAAGTTGCTTCTCTGCAAATCTGAAGCGCGTTCTACTTTGCTACTAAATTGCTTTTAACTTTTAATTAACTATGAGCGACCGTGCTGCGCCGCCAGTCATTGGACCGCTGCCAATCTCGTCAGAGCTTCCATTTCAAAGCGGTGGAATTGACATTCGCAGCCGTCCAACGATTAGAGGCAAGGTCTCTCTAAGTCGCGCGATATAGGAATCGCGCGATGGACTCGCAAAGTATGGACGCGATCTAGTAGAACAACGGCTGGGAGCATAGTGATGAAAACGAAAAGGTAGACATGGCTCCGCCCATATTACTAGTGCGAACTGTACAACTAACATGGTGTGGAAGATAAAGTGAAAGTAACCTCCTGAGAACACCTTCCACTCGTTTTAAGTGTCACCAGCTACTGGACGACCAAATGGCATTAGCCAAGGGTATGAGAAAAGGAATCTTTCGCACTCTTTCAATCAGTGGGATTCTGCGCATTACGGGCTAACTCGTGCTGTTCGTATGGGTGCGAACAAGAGCAGAGCAGGGCGCAAGTCGGCGACGGAGTGGCATTTTGCTTCCCCTCGATGTGTCGACCCATCTAGTTATCCTTTTCCTGAGTTGACACGTTTTACCATGGTGGCTAGACGAGCTTGCTCCAGCTTCACAAGAGTTCACAAGTTTCACCAGAGTGAGACTTGTAAACCGGAAGTAGTGAAGCAGTGAAAGTGCAAAATGCCCCCCCCCTTCTCGTCGCCAAACTGTGCCCAGGAGCGGAGACACCCAGCCATTGTGCGTTCACCATTGGTCAGGCAGCCCATCAAGTATGGAGTAAGAACTCTGAGAAACGTTGGAAATTTTGTCCACTCATTGAAGCGATTTCTATTTCTAAGGGCATTGAATTGCATTGATGAAAGTATTACATTCATAAGGGTTCACTGATGAGAAAAACGTGGCTCTTAAACATTTTGCACTGTACCTTGCCAAAACAGTCTTCCAGAGACTTCTCGTCATGCAAGTTTCCTTGTTACTAACGCCTTAAATAAAACAAATTTGTAGACATAAGGGGTGTGGTGCTGCAAATATTCGTTTCCATCGAGTAGAATTTTTTGTGAGAAAAAATTTCATAACTTTTTATTTTGCTAGGCTAAAACTCTACAACACAGCTTCAGAGAATTGTCGAGATATTTATCCACACAGTTCGGCTTAGTGAGGTCACCGAATGGTACTCGGCTATGCTTGTAGAGGTCACTCCTATTACCAAAGTAGTTCACTCGTACAATTTCGAGCTTAACAGGAGTTTGCAGCAGGGCACATCGTTGGTTGGCTATTTTTATCAGGTTCATGCGACCTCCCCCCGTTTTCCAGGGGTTTTTACGACTCCCGCCCATCCTACCTACACTTTCTTAGATTTTCCCAACTTCTCACCACTTTTTGCGGAATTTCCCGAGAATTTCCCTACTTTTCCTCAAGGATTTTGCTGTCGAGCGGAGGGGGGGGGTAAGTAGTACACACATGAAACAGGAAAAACCACGGAAAGTCAGCAACCTCCCTCAGGTTACAAGTGAAAGACGACCATCCCCTCTCCTCAACAACGAGCAACAACGAGCAAGATACACCCCCCCCCTTACAGCGTCCCTGAAAGAAGAAAAAATTACCTTGAAAAAATTTTCATCATCCAAATACCCCCCCCCATCCCAGCAACAAATACGATCCCTGTTGAGGGAATTTCGAATGCCCCCACCCCCATCCGCCCCCAGCCGCCCACTCACGCCCCCCGCCCCGCGCCGTCTGGTGCATGCAGGTCTAAGCAAACGCTCTAGGACGGACATACGCGCCGTCTGATCGGTAGCCCATTTTAGATCTAAATTTTCGGCACTATTAACTATTCTACCAACTTAAAAAATTCTTCCGCTGAAACGTGATATATAGGTGTAGTCGATGCCCTGATCACGAATATCACATTCGTTTTGAACGCGGGCGTCATTTGGGGCCATTATGCGCCAATTTGGCGCCCACCACTTTTTGTTACCGAAGTCGATGAAACTCACATATGGAGGTTAATTGAGGTCCTGATTACGAATCCAACCATTTATTTTTGGCGCCGCGTCATTTGGCGCCATTACGCGCCAATTTGGCACCTAGTTAACGCATGGTGAACCGAATCCGTGCCGTATTGTAATACAGGATGTCGTTAAACCCCCCATATGCAAGTTTTCATCGACTTTGGTGAAAAAAGTGGTAGGCGCCAAATTGGCGCATAATGGCGCCAAATGACGCCAGCTCGGAACGGATGATGTTATTCCGTGAATAGCGCATTCAAAATCCTCTATAGGCACCGTTCAGCGAAAAATTGTTTTTTGAGTTTTTTTGGGGTAGGAATAGTTCAATGGTGCCAAATTTTCGGTAGGGTGACGGGAAATAGACGTTTCTGTCGTTCTACGCAGTCACGGTGAGCGAACAAATTTTGCGGCAGAATTTCGTTCCCTTACAACAGGGTTATAGGGCTCAGTAACTAGAGGCAATATAACGCTCCTAATCAGTGTACCATACCATCAACTTTGATGAAGCAATTGCTATCATTGTGAATTTTTCTTACTGAGAAATGTCGCTGTCCAGTTTCTGAGTCGTACTGAAAATCTTCTGAAGGCACCACTGTCCAGGACAGAAGTTCGTTGTCAAAATTCATCGCTGCCAGGTAAACAGTAAACGAAGATACAGTTGAAGCTGCTGAAAGTTCGTCATGTTCGAATTCAAGTTCGAGCAATAAAAATCAGTCATGTCCTGTGAATTACTCAGCAATTTGACATTTGAACCTCACTACTCGCAAATGGTAAATCGCGAGCTATGCCCAGACGGGTGCAGTTTTAGGGCCATGGGTTGGGAGGGGGGGGGCATATAGCAATTTTGCTGCTTCTCTGGTTCCGGTTTACAAGTCTCACTTTGGCGAAACCTGTGAGCTCTTGTGAGCTGGAGCAAGTTCAAGCCACAATGGAAAATGGTATTGTATGGTAGGGTGGTTTCCACGAATTTCGGCAGTTATTATTTCGTAGCTTCATAATTTCACAGGCTCACTTGTACGTTCGCTTCAGCTATGGGAAGTAACAAAATGCAGATGCCTGCCCACGGCCGAACTAGCACGCGAATATTATATGGGGATGGGACACATTTCGGCGACGGGAGGGGGGCATTTTTCACTTCTGCTACTTCCCATCACGTGTCCACCCATCTAGACAGCCTCTTCTCGAGTTGGCAAGGGGTTACCATGGTCGGTCTACGAGCTTGCTTCCAGTTTCAAAAATTCACAGGTTCACTAGAGTGAGGCTTGTTATCGCGGTTACTGGCAGTGGAAGTGCAAAATGTTCTCCCCCGTTCGCCGAATCAGGCGCAATGGAAGATTCAAGCCCAAATTGGCAACTTCGAACGAATTAGGAGGTTCAACTTACTGAAGCAGTCTGCATCTCGGATAATCACCGTGAGAGACACGTTGTTGTCTACTTCGTAGTTTGAAAGCCTTTCTTTCAATAAGAGTTCATTGACATGTTCAAATTGGAAAGCCGTCTGAATACTGCTAACAGCAAAGAACCCGTTTGGTTATCACATCCTTCAAACGTGAATCGGTCCTATTTTTCAAGGGGAAGCGCGCCAGCGAATCGCAATTTCCCTCCGCCGCGCGCGCCATGGGCGCGGGCGTTTTTCTCACTCGTTCTTAAAAGGCAGTTGGCACGATGGTTTCCTACTTAGCCTAAAATGCTAGTAGGGCGCTGTATAGTGGGGAAATGGCGAAAGAACGGAACGGTCAAAATCCTGCGAAGAAAAAGCCTCCGTTCTCAGTGACTTGTAAATCGATTTCGGACGAGTTTCCCGTAGGCATCTTACCAATCACCGCTACCGAAGATACGGCTGCATATGTGTACCCATATATGCATGCAGCATCACGGCCGCTTCATACCAATCTTCGCGTTCAAATTTGTTTTGGCAAATTGATGAATACGAGCGTCAGTAAAGGTGGTCATTTGTTAAGCGGAGCAGGCGTGGCGGGCGTTTGGGACGTAAAGTTGTGGCTTGATAGGGCCCTTATAAGGGCACCTTCCTCGGGGAAACCGCTATGCAGCGCCTGCCCAGGGTCGCGGAATTCTATCCTGCCAGGAGTATTGATCCTAGTCGCCTTGAGGGATTTATATCGTGCCAACTGCTGTAACCTGTCGATTGGAGCACCGGACTTCATGTGGACTCCGTCATCGTAAACATTCATGACTATTTCTGGTTCTGAATTGCCTCTTGTCGCCATCCTCTACCTGGAACCATCGGCCATTTTTGCGTGTTGGCTACGTCGCACGCGATGCCCACCAACGCGGTGATTTACTATTCTCTTATCACATACCCATTTTTAAGTAATACAGTTACAATTCTCAGTCGTAAATTTCCACACGGGGGCCCTTAGAACAACACCCGCTCACCACAACCCGTTCACGACGCGCGCGTTCGAAATCAAATCCCAACTAGGCTTCCGGTCAAGGCAACCAACCCTTCTACCTTCTGTAGTGGAACGATATGAGGGCGATAATATGATATATGATAATAGCGGGGATCTTAAGAAAACTGGCAGAGAAAGGTACGCGCTGCTATCGAACAGGAGCGGTCCACGGAAGGGGCCTCCACATCGTGTCCCGCTGGGCAGCAGCAGAGGCTGTCTTTAATCCCTAGGCTACTTTCTTTGTTTACCATTCCCTGGGTTCACGCTGACCCAGCGGGTACTCAACTTTTACGTGCTGCGAAGGTGACGGGGAAGGCAGAAGAGTCCTAGGTTCGCACTGCTCTAGCCCAACGTTATCCGAGTCTGTGGTTTCACAAGAAGAGCCGATCCTCTTTCGCAAACCTTCCCAGGAAGCCCTAGCCACTGTCTTAGAAATGTAGTTCCTATGTGGGGATCTATTGTATATTACATTGCGGTTTATACGCCGAAGTTCGTCCTGGATGAATATTCCAGTGGACATCTTCGGGTTGAGGCTAGATATGCACGTGCCAGGAGCCCCAAAGTGATTGACTTATTGACATTCCGGTATGGGTGCCAAGGAGGCTGCATCGTGGACCTAGCGCTGTTGCACTGGAAATCATAATTTTCTTCTTAAAACTTCACATAATAAGCGTGATGCCAAACAGCTCATTGTCGTTAGAATACCTACGTTGTTTTCACTCCGCGCCTGATTTTGAAGTGTTGCGTTGTTATCTGAAACGATGTCAATTTTATCTGTATAAATTGTCAGTTTCTCCTAGCTATAATAATATTCGATAAAAAATAATCGAGAAAAAGAACTGAACGAAAATGTGTGGAGACGGAGTGCTAATCTACGGGAAATTTAATGTCACCCGCTATGAAGTCCCTCTTCCGCTTGAATTTTTACGAGTATCGTTGCTTCAATCGACAACTGAATGCACCAATAAGAATTTGCGCGCATTGCCTTGCATAAGTCATTTGCCGCGCATCGCCACACACGATGTGCGGCCGACAGCGCGGCAGATTGCGATTGTCCTGTCCGCCTTTCGTGTTCCTCCTTACCAGGGCTTTCCTAGGCAATGTTCAGTCATTCATCAGTGATTATCAAGGCAGGAAATGAACCAAATCCTTTGAGTTCAAAATCCAATCCAATTCAATCCAAATTCTTTGAGTGTTTTGTGCTTTGAGAAGTATCCACTCACCGATCCGGAGCTCTTCCGACGCTATATATCCCGAAAGGACAATCTTTAAAGAATGGGTAATCAGTCCGTTGCCAGCGTGGAAGAGGGAAAAATATCGATAATGATAATAACGAACATTCCTCTAATGCCTCGATGAGAAGGCTTAGATGAGCTGATATGACGTGGTCTAACCCGCTGGTGAGCGGCCTATCCACACTTGGAGCCCACCTTCCCCAGATTTCCAGTTGGGCAAAAGTCGTCACCCCTGGCCCGAATGATTAGCTTGGTGCTCAGCACCAGCAGTTTGCTGCATCATTCAGCTACTATTCTCGATGGGACACGGGCAAGAGAATCGTAATTTGCCGCTCTGCCGCGCGCGGCAATGGACGCAACAGTTCCTCAACTCTATTATCATATCGACTTGGAGCACCAGACTTCATGCAGGCCCCGTCATCTTAGACATTCGTGACTATTTTCGATTCTGAATTGCTTGTTGTCGCCATCTACCTGGAACCATCGTCGTTTGTGGGCGCGGCGTCGCGCGCGACGCCACAGCTGGGTGAATTACAATTCTGTGTCACACACGCCATTCTCGTTAAGAGACACCCGCCCCATAAGGTGTGAGTTCACTGCAATAATTCTTGGAGTGTTGAACTGCGACGAGGCAGGAGTAATGCTCTATCCCACTACCAGTTCAACCATATGCCGAAGATGTGAAAAAAGTTTTACCTGGAACTCCAACGGGCACAGTGGGACAATAGACTCCTGACACCCACCACACAAAAAGGCAGATAATGGGCCTTCTCCTTGCGAAAGATACTCAAGGCACCTAGCACCATTTTCGCTTTAGCAAACCAGAAATGTTCAAAAGTCCCAAAAGCATTGAACTCCCTCAGAGAATTCACCCACTTAGCTAGTATGGGCGTTTATTTTTATCTTCTCTGATTAGGTCATACCTCGGCCGCTTCCGGTGAGCAGTAACACAGCTGCAACAGTGGACGTGAAAAATACCAGCTTGAAGAATCCAGTGGTCATAAATGAGGTGCTCCTTCGACTTGGAAGAATTGGTGTTATCATTCGGTTGTGAGTGTAAACCCAAACAATGCTGCTATCACGCTGTAGGAATGTAGGCTTTTAGTGGTGATTAAGTGCTGCTGGAGTACTTTTGCATTTTGCCTGCGAAACTCATCATTTAGTACAGCACGACAAGAGCGGAGAAGAAAATAGGCCGTGGCGCGTCACCTTCGTATGGCGGCTGTAGCTGCTAGGGCGGGTGTCGATCGCAGCTTTCCGCAACTGCGACAAAATACGAGTTTCCACTTGATAGGAGGGAAGAGACCTGGAGACTTTCGGGGAGAAAATCTAGCAACACAGGTAATGGACGCTGCCGTTGAGGGCCTATATTCAGGGCTATTTCGAGAACGATTTGCGCACTCGATGCTGGAAGGGACAGCCCTAGGCGACAAAGCGGCTCTAGTCGCTTTCTTCCTCTCACCGGGTAACTGATCCATTCTTACCCACAGGCAAGGGAGTTGCATTGTTCTTTGTGTAAATCACAGCGTAGGGGTCGTATTTGGCAGCCAAGGAGGGGGTGATGTTTCGGCAAAAAAGTCCTAGCCGATTTTTAGCGTTGCGCGCCATATACTACCTTGAACTGCCGGCGTTTGAAGATACTCTTATCTGATAAAGTGGGGGTGTCTTCTCTCCCCCCTCCTCATCCGAACTCCGAACATGATAAAAGGAGGATTTGGTAAGAGAAATATAGGTAGTGGAAAGGGTCGTACGAGGGGAAATTTTGGCGGTTAAGTCGTAGCTAGCCAAAATCTTACCCAACGCAACGGCGGGCTCCGATCTGAATGCGTGGGCCATTAAAATAGCGCTCTTGTGCCGCCGAGCGGCTCCCTATAACTACACTGGAGGGGATCTAGAGAATGGTTAGCTAGAATTCGCAAAGAAGATGACAACGGTAGAGCCATTTTGTGGAGTTGCGCTCTCACCAAGATTTCGTTCGGTTACTGCCTCCCCCCCCCCTTCGCACGTGGGACAGTGCTGGCAGACTTTTGGGATGTTTCGCATAGTGGTTCTCATCGTTTTTTTCCAAACACCAGCGTTCAAATAATTTATTAACTCTTCGTTTTACAGTAATTGTTTTGGGTGAAAACTAGAAGAGCAAGACACTTCTGACAAAGAACAGTTATTGCACTCATTCACGTATCAGTTCGTTCGGTTCAGCGCCATATCGATAGCCATGAGTGATAAAAACCCCATTTGCGGG